CTTGTATCTTAACTTTGCTTGAATAAATTTCTGAAAAGATTTATTTCATATGTATTGCTCACTCCTCTGGGTGTCATGTGGTATTTTTAATAGTTTCCAAACATGTATTTGTCCTGAGGGACTGAATCACTGTGTGTTTCCAGATTTTAAGCAGTATGCTGGGGAATGGTCTTAAGGGCCAGATCTGTTTCACACTGAGCAGGTGACTTTTCTTTTAACTTGTGTTTGAAGCTCAGTAAGCGAAGCTTACTGACTTAATAAAATAAATCTTCAGCTGGCATCCAACCATATATCGAAGTGTTAACCTTCAACTGTAGAGCCTCTCAATTTGCTTCCGAAAAACCAGTTATCCTACCTCACTAATACAACTTAAAGTAGAACATTATTCGGAAGAAATATTACAGGATAGCTAAACTGTGACTGAAATTAATGCTTTTTTCCCTGCCCCCCCCCGCCCATTTTTGAGTAAACCCTTTTGTTCTGATACTCACCTATCTAGCTAGTATATAAGATTGTTTCATTGATACAGCAGAATGGTAATGTAGATGGAAAAGAAAAAAAAAATTGTGGAAGCTAGTGTTGTCACCATCATTTCTGGTAGTAGTAAGGTTGAAATTCTCAAGCCTATTTGCATCTTGGACCACTGAAGGTGGCGATGCTGCTATCGCTGAAGCAGGCTGCACTCATCCTCTTTTAAGGATCTGATATGTCTCATCTCTTACAAAAAAAAAAAAAATCTTACAAATCTTTTTTTCTTACAAAAAAGCACAACAGAGTGAGAAATCTGTTTCCACAGCTAGTTAGGCTGTGGTACTTTAAGAGCAGAGTACTAGGCAAGAGGAAAAAGTTTAGTGATTATTAAAAAGAATCTGAAGGCGAAACTGTGCCAGTTAGCACACACAGCAGTGAAAGAAGCAGATGAAACCTAGACAGCTAAAACATTTCAGTGCAGGAAAAACTCATTAAATAATGCTTTTTAAAGCTACAGATTAGTAGAGGACTGGAAATCAAGCTGCCAACCTTTAAGCTAAAAGGTAGGTAGAACCACAGATTAATAGAACCTTGGGTTTTTTTTCAGTGCCTTGCTCTCATTTCTTTCCAGTTGGTCCCTGTTTTTATCCTCTTGGTATGTCTTCTCGCTCAAGAAAGTAGCACTTGAGCTTGATGTACTTGTCCCTGTGTAGTATACGCTTTCCAGGAACTATACCTTGTATTTTAGCCTTGCTGGAATAAATTTTTAAAAAGAATTCTCAGTTTCTTACCAGCATTTCTCTTCTTCTGCCTCCCCAGTGGAATAAAATAATAATCCTGTTTGGGCCTCTGAAGTGCTGCCTTAGCATAAGTTAAACCTTTGCTTAAAGATATGGAAGCTTTGTAATAGTAGAGGAACAATGTGATCAGGAAAAAAGTCAATCAGAATTCTGCACTAAACTTTGAACCAACCTCCAAACTTCTGACTTTATTTAAACTATGGGATACTTATGTGTAATTACAGCTATGCCTATTCCTTTGATGCCTGCAAGGTCACAGCTTTGTTTATAACTCTTCAAGTGTTAGTTTGAGATTGAATTGTCTCTGTTTCCTGAAATAGATTGTGTTTTACCACATGGTAACTTTATCTGAAGAATATAAAATCCTGGAAGAGTGGAAAGTGTATGCAAGCTGAACACAGGTTGTGTATTATACCTATTCATGGAGCTTAAACTCTGAAGTGGGGGGAGTCCTGGCAGCAGTTCAGGCCCTTTTGACTTTGGGGATTGCTATTTCTGGTACATGCAGTACACAAAAGTGTGGTTTCAACTCTTCCCCCAAAAGCTGTTTCACTGTTACTTACAGTACTACAAGAACTGAATAGGACAGTATTACTGTACTTCTGTCTTGCGAAAAAGCTAATTAAAGTACCCAGGTATTGAGAGAGTGCTTTAGTTGGGCTCCCAAAAGAAGTTGCAAGTCATGGACAGTGTTTTACCTGCAGGAACCTCAGGTTATTTGATTATACTTTGCATTCAGCATGCTCTCTCTCTCAACCAGATGAAACATGTTTATAAACTGCTACTTTCACAGTAATTGTTGCCCCTGTTCCTGTAGAAATAGAACTGAACTGGGTGTTTCTCTAGTATTAAACCTTTGAGAGCTGTGAGTATGGGATATCCAATGGCTGTGCCACAATGTGTTCAAAATAACCTTTGAAGTTGTGATTTTTCTATTATCAGGTACCCCAGGACACTATAAGATGGTCATTAAAATTGTGGCCTAATTGTTCTGAATGCTTTTATGAGTGAAATAAAGATTTAACACACTTTTTTGTGTCAAGTCAGTCAACTTTTTAAAGGTATCTTGAATACAGGAGGAGGAGGTAAAGGTGACAATAATAAGAATGTTCTCTGATTTTGGGAAATTAAATGTCATATGACTCAGCAGGCTGCTATAGCTTGCACTGGCAATATGGCTAAACTTGATTAATAATAAAACCTGATGTATTCAGCAAAGTCAACGGCTGTGCTATCTCAGGTACTAAAATTACAGTGTCTCGCATTGTAGATAGTATAGTAAGAGTGATGTCACCCTGGCTCTACAAGAATGAGTGAAGGAAGATAACTTTCTTGTTTCTTCTAAAATGTCTTTGTATTTGTCATAAACTGTTTTTTTTTTTTTCATCTTGCTGTTACTGTGGAACCAAAGACAACTGCAAAATTATTACTAGACTTCAATATAGCAGCTCAGAACACTAGGCTATTGTTAGCCTTGTTCTCTGTTAAACTGCAGGAAAATGTGTACAAGAATTAGTTGTTACTAGATTTTGGCATATATTGCCTCTGTGCTAGTCTTCTCAGTGGGAAAGATAGTTACACTCACTGTTCAGAAGCACAATGAGTAAAGCATCAAAGCTTAGTGATTTTAGTAGCTTTAATCTAACCAAAAAAGCAGCCTAGTGAATTTGTCACTTCCATGCATGTACAATACTTCATGTATCACTATCCTGAATCCAGTTAGATGCTGGTGTTAAAATTAATGGAAGCCACTGTTAGCTCATGAGTGTTTCTCAGTTCTGTGTTATTAAGACTAGATGTTAGCAAGCAGGAGAACATCTTGCCTTAAACACTCTAGAGCAGACAGCGTTCAGGTCTGTGAGACTTAATAGAGCTGGTCAGAGGAGCCTGGTTTTGGTGAAACTGGAATTACAGATAACTAGATTTTATAATCCCATCCTTAGTGGAGCTAGTCTTGTTATAAGCCTTTTATTTTTTTCTTTATTAATACATGAGTCAATATTAAGAAAATGGCTTAAAAATGGAGGTATGAGGATTGAGTATCTGGCACTTCATTCTGAAAAATAACTTTAAACCACAAAATTACCAGATTTAAAGTGTGCTACTATACAGGAAGATCTGTGTAGTTTGTATGAACAGTGTACTCTTTTGATGCTTATCCAAGGCTGTAATAATACAATGTAGTTCTTAAACCAGGCAAAACGGAGAACTTGAGGAATAATGCTGATGAGTATCTTACCCTTTGTGAAACTTTGCTTCCAAAAACTGAGTTTAGAGAATTTAACTTGGCACAAATCAACAGGTATTAGCTCTGAAAGCTTGAGACTGAAAAGATTGAGTCATTGAAATATGTAAATACTGCTTTTGTCTTTTTCCAGCGGCAGAACCACAAGTTCTCTTCGGTAGTGATGATTGTGCTGGCTCTTTACCTGAGGGAAGGAATTCTCAAGTTCATTTTAGTCAGGCTATCCATTCTTCATGTTCATGATTACATAACTGTTAGTCTTTGCTCAGAAAGAAAATAGCCTGAAGTTGTAGAGGGTAGAAATTAGTAATAAGCTAATGTTACAGGTCATCTATCGCAAAATGAGAAATCTTCATTTTCCAAATTGAATAGAGTTAGCTGAATATAAAAAGATAACTGGGGTTGTAGTCTAACTTTTAGTAGGGTACTGACTGGGCAAGCCATGAATATGAATTCTTGCAGACTGGCTTAAGTGTATGATGTCTTGGGATGCCACCACATTAATGTTGTGAACCTGAGAGAGCACCAGTCTGTAATTAAAAGCAGGAAACCCTGTTTTGATGCATTCAAAAATAAAACCAGTGCTGTGTCAGTAAACTGGGAGTGACAACTCCTGCAGCTTAATCAGGATACATCCGCAAGTGCCTTGTATATGTAATAGCAGCAAAGTGAAGGGGAAGTTAATTTCCCAAGTATTCAATATATTTATGTTTCAATCATAGAAGATAATGTTTAGTGTTCAGAAGCATTCCTTAGAATTTAACAGCTCCTAAAGCAATGATCCAGTCAAGCAGTTGTAGGCAAGTTTCACTAAATTACTGCATGTGTTTAGGGAGTATTCAAGTGTGAAATAAGTGTCAGGATGTTAGTGGTGGGATTGCTTAAACTTTTACGGCACAGAAAGGGTACTTAGTCAGCTCTTTAATCACTATGCTTGCTAATAAGTAAGTTTCTCAACTTCAGATTCTGTTTCAGGCTGGAAAATAAGCTGTTCTATCTATCCAGATTTCTCCTTGCTGTTTATTTAAAAATCGCAATGGGAATCTGACTTAGCTGGAGTTATGGACACAGGGTATGCAAATAATTTTGGTTTACACAATTTTCAGGAGTTAAGTGTTCTGGAGATGACATAAAATACACTTTAATCTGAATGTGTAAAGGTGCAGCAAAAGTAGTGTGATTGCAATAATATGGTAAATAATAGGGCAGAAATTTCTGTAACCTGGTACTGTTAAAGAGTAACTAGTGTAGCAAAATCAGTGGGGAAACTAATAATTCATGTTCAACTCCCACGTGCAACTTAGTCCATGAATTGTTTGATAAACTTAAGTATTATTTTTGTGTGGAATTAACAAAGCAGTGACTTGAGTGTTTAAAAACAAAGTCGTCTTGTCTTGAAGCATATTGATGATTAGTGAACTTTGGTTTTAAACGAAAACCATGAATAGTAACAGGATGTCTCTTTTGTTTTCAGGTTTTGGCACAGCATGAATGTAATTAGAGAAAACAGAGATCTTGCTTGTTTCTACACAACAAAACATTCATGGAGGGGAAAGTAAGTAGTTTTAAACCCCCAAACTTTAATGTTTTGTGTGACATTGCTCCTCTCTGTTATTGGATTTAACTGCATAGTTTCTGTATTGATGGATGAAAATTGAACTAAAGGCTCCTGCTGTTCAGTCTTTGAACTAAATGTGTCTTCACTAAAATCAATTTGGTTTTTAAACACTGCATTTTAGCCTTCCTCTGCACATGTTCCCATACTTCAGTGTAGCTCTGAAATGGATGAACTGACTTGGCCTCTGAATCTCTTGAAGTTACTATATAAAGCACTAATTTTGAAGTGGAAATGCTTCTTTTCAGGACAGGTTCTTGGAGGAGCAATGCCGTGTGTACTTTAATAGATGAGGGTCACTAGTCCACACATATACTTAGTATATTGTATAATAGATTATCTGTTAAACTAGTAACTGAGATTATTTGAAGAACTTCTGTTACTAGAAATAAACTTGATACCTAATGGTGGTCCTGGATCTAAAAATGAATTTTCAGTGATGCTTCTGTCTGCAAAAGATAGGGAAGTTCTAATAAAACTGTCCATTAAACCATCATAACTGATATCTGTTATAGTGTGTTTGAAGTCAGCTTTTATGCATACTTTTTAAAGCTTCATAGGACTTTCTTTGGTATCCTTACCCACTGTTCCTTCTCACATGCATAGTAGTGCTGTGGAACTGGGATTTTTCCTTGCTACCTAAACATCAACAGAGCAAAGAGGATTTGTTACCTGCACTTCAGAAGCATGAGTACTGCTTTATTCTAATGATTATAGTGAGAGGTGATGTCTGAATCTGTTTGACCAGCAAGTTGAAACTGGCTTTTTTGAGGGGGTTTCTGCTGATAGATACTTCATGAATTCTTCCTATCGAAGACTGGGAATGTTGGGAAGGATAGGAGGATGGGATTGTGAGGAGTGGCAGCCAAAGATCTTTCTCAGTTGTGATTTGAAGAACCATGAGATTGCCTCAGTGTCCAGTCAGAGAGCTCCCTGTCTTTTTGTCAGCAAAAATTAAAGCCCTGGGTAGTTCAGAGTCCAAAGTAGACTGAGCAACTGTCTGAGGGCAAAATCTTTCCTCTGCCAAGACAGGTTCTTGATTTACTTGAAATACAGTTTAATATTTAGTTTTACCTCATTAGAATTCTAGCCAATACTTGTGTAAATTGAGTCTGACCTGCAGTAAGATCCATGCATTTGGATTTGTGTGGGCATGGGTGAATAAAATGTTTCCTTTAGTAATAATAAGATACTATGTTGGGGTGGAACATTAGAAGAGTTTATTGTTCTTAATCTTTCTGTTGCCCCACGGAAAATATCTGGTCTCTTCCTAGGAAATGAAACCATGGTGAGACTCCATTTTGCACTTGATAAATCTAAATTTCTTAGCTTTTCCTCACTGCTGCTTGTTTCTAATATGCCTTAAATGCAAGCAACTACCTTGCTACAGCTGTTCTTTAAGCAGTTCTTTATGTGGCAGTTAACATGTCTGTGATACCGATGTGTGATAACTAGCTGTATATGGAAATACAGCTTCAGTGATCTGAATCTTCCTGAGTTTAGTAGTCTTAGTTTTCCTCAAGGTGAATAAAATTAGGCTTGGCCATAGTAACACTTTGACTTGTTACAGTATTATGACCAGGAGCATAAATTGGATTATTTTGTGTTACAGCTGTTGTCTGAGAAAGCTTCATACAGATGCTTTAGAGTACTGCAGGAATATATATATTTTTTTTTTTTTCCTGTCTGTGTAGTCTTTCTAGAACTTATTCTGGTCTGATAGTACCTTCCAGTGCAAGTTCCAAGAGTCTTTGGTCCTTACTTAGCCAATAAGATAGGAAAAAAAGGATGCATAAGGAAATGTACTTAGTAGTATTCAAACTGTACATCCCCTTTATGGATATATAGAACAGAGAAGCTTAACATATTCTAAGGATAAACTGCAAACTAACAACAAAGAAAATCATACATCCATTTCCTAACACTGACTTGTATAGAGCTTCTTAATATCACCTTTGCTATTCAACAGGGTTTTTCTGTGACTTCTGGAGAAACTAACTCTTCTATATTCTAGGTATAAGCGAGTCTTTTCAGTTGGAACCCATGCCATCACCACATACAATCCCAACACACTAGAAGTTACAAATCAGGTAACTATCGCTTTTGAACAGGGCTATTTTGAGTTGATTTCTGACTTTCACTCTGAATGGTGAATATATAGTGGCATTCAGTCTTCAGAAACTATCTAGATCTCAGCAAAACCAGAAGGCATGGCACCTGCTACAAAAGCACACATAGCAGAAAACTAGTGTTGCCTTCACTAACTCTACAAATATCCAGTAGTTTTTGTACTTTTAGGCAGTTTATCTTCAATGGCCAATAAGTAGTAGTTTGCTTTTGGGTATACTGTTCTGAATGAACTGGGATAAGTTTGATCACTGTAAGGCTATGTCCCTGAAGGGAGTCAAGAGACTTGCTTACTTTGCAGAGTATCAAATTGGAAGCTCAAGCTAAAGCTGTCACATATCATGCTAGCTATTGTCTTATTACAGCAATACACTTAGTTATTACAGGTGCTAAGGATTTTTGAGTGGAGGAGATGTAGCTTTAAATTTACTAACAATATAACCTAATTACTTTCAATTGTCTAGTGGCCTTATGGAGATATCTGCAGTATTTCTCCTGTTGGAAAAGGACAAGGAACAGAATTTAGTCTCACTTTTCGCAAAGGGAGTGGAAAAAAGTCTGAAACTCTTAAGTTTTCCACAGAGCACAGAACAGAACTGCTTACAGAGGCACTGGTAAGATTTTTTTTTTATTTTTTTTTTTTCCCTTCAAGCAAGCAGTAAGTATTTGGTTATCATTACCACTTGTGGCAGATTACTATGCTTGCTTTCCTTACATAAAAAGTAGGAAAGCAAATTGTCTTTTGAATTGTTCTATTAATGCACTTGATCTAGTGTCTCTTGCAGCAACTAGTGCATGATTCTTAAATTGCAAGTAAAGCTAAAAAATACTAAATAAATTAAACTGCAGTGGAGTGGTGAGTCTTCAAGGAGGCTTAGTTCAAGTCCCTTAGAACAGGGTCAGCTTAAATGTAGACTTTCTGGATAGGTTGATTATCGTATTTACATTCATTCTTGGTTAACTTTTTTTTTTAAAAACAGAGATTCAGGACAGACTTCTCAGAAGGAAAAATCACAGGACGGGTAAGTGTCTGGCTTGTCTATATCATGTGTAGTCTAATGAAAAGATCTAAAGACTTAAACTTCTGCTGGGTTTGTTTGTTATGCTTGTGCTATAGGTACTACCTAAGATAGATTTTGTAAATTTTTATCTGAATTCTTGTGTTGAGAAGAGAAAATTGAGAGTTTGTTCAGAAGCAATGGGAACCTTTTCAACAGTAGAATATTTGAGTTCTCTTCACTTGGCCTGAGTACACTTAAAGACTCTGAATGATAGTGCTGAAATAAAGGGCTTTACCCCATGGAGTCCTTATTTGGAAAGAAGGAAGAAGAAAAACATAAGCTTTGGTTTGTTATTCAATATTTATTACTTCCAGCATTTTACTTTGTAACTCTAAATAGTTTTCTGCATAATATCCTGAACACTTGATGGGGGAATATTGCTTCCTAAGAGGATTTCTGTAGGTCAAAGTCAAGATTGCCATGAATCTTGGTAATATTGTAGTAAGCAAGGCACCATAACAGAGCTGGACTCTGTATTTGGTTTTATGTCTTCTGGTCGGAGAAGATAGCACTTAAAGCATTGCATAGAATAAATCTTCAGTGATGAGCATAGTAACACTACTGGAATATGGGGGTCCCCTTTGTCTCAATATAGTTTAGAATAGACTTCTAATTTTTGCCAATTTCAGTAAATCTTTATTTGTAATTGAATATGACTGCAGGAGATTAAAAACTTGCACTATAGTGATAAGTTTACCTTATTCTAGTCTTGATTAGCTGAATAACAGCATCTGGTGCAATAACCTCTTCCTTGCCTAACCACAGTGCACATAGTCTGTGAGCAGGCCACCTTCTGCAGCAACAGAAACTTAACTCCCTTTTGGAATGGCTGTTTGGCTTTTGCTGTTCTCTCTTCAAAATGTATTGTTTAAGCTGTGTCTTCCTAGTCAGGAGACAGCTACTTTAATTTGATTCATAGTGTTAACATAGATAAGAGCATTAAGGGAAATCATAATATTTTTTTAAACTTTACACCCACACTCTTTATTGGACTGAAAAAGAACTACTGCTGTGTAGTAAAGAAGCCTGTGTGTAGATGTCTAAAAGTAGCTCTCTCTACAGAGGTATAACTGCTATAAACATCACTGGAGTGATACAAGGAAACCTGTGATTCTGGAGGTGACTCCTGGAGGTATTGACCAAATTGATCCTGCAACAAATAAAGTCCTGTGCTCCTATGACTACAGAAATATTGAAGGCTTTGTCGATATCACTGGCTATCAGGGAGGCTTCTGTATCCTCTATGGAGGATTTAGTAGATTGGTGAGTACTAAAACAAAACATTTTGGTGTGGTGCTTAGGATGCTTAATAATAAAACTTGAACATAATTTAAGTGTATAAGTATCTGCATCTTTGGGACCCAGCTGTGGAACCTGAAGGCTTGTGGGCATGTTTTAAAACCTCTTTTCCACAGCAAATTAGTTAAAACATTTGAGAACAGTGTGTAGGTTGTGGGGTTTTTTGTTTGTTTTGGGGTTTTTTGTTTGTTTTTTTTTTCCTTCTTGCTTATTGCACTTTTAAAAGCTACGGAGCATAAAACATCTAGTTATTTATATTTGGATAGTGAATATGAATGCAGTGTGGACATAGTTTCCTGACATTTCTCAAAGTTACAGAAGTGTTAGGCAGTATTACTAATCTACCTAACTGATGGAAGGATTCTATTCAGAAGTAGATCGATCAGTGGTGATGCTTCCTTTTTAGACCTATCATCTGATATTCAGCAGCTTTGCTTGGGAAATGCTGTAGTGTGATGTTGGTTTCAAAATCTTGCAGTTTCTGTGTACTGTGCTGCCAGCAGCTGAAATGGATCTTTAGGAATTAATTCATTGTTACTAATGTAAATACAGCTACCTAAGTCACTACTAACAAAATAGGACTCTGCTCTCTAGATCAGGGTTTCCACATCTCTTGTACTGCAGCATGCTTTTATCTGGCATGAAATTAGCAATATATAACTGATCCTCTAGAGCTGCCCTAAGCTTGCCTAGCAAGGCTGGATAGCAGTACTTAGAGATAGCAGCTGGGGCTACCACTGTGGTTCTCTGGCTCCTCAGTTCTGCTAGGCTGTCAGGATCTGTTGCCAACGGTGGACAGACAGGTCATGCAGACCTTTACTTTAATAGCACACTAATGTGTAGCAGGGTATCCTTTAGGAATAGCTGCTAGAGATTTTTTTCTTTTTGAAAGGGAAATTTAAAGGTAACAGTGGATCTCTTATGTAATAAATACCTCCTCTCTTTATACTATGCACTTAGCAAAGGCAAGTCTAGCTGCTGGGAAGATTCTCTACTGTTAGGTATATAATGGAGGATTATTTATGGACTGATTCTTGAGCTATGCTGTATTTTTCACTTGTGGTTTTTTTTTTTTTTTCTTGTCAAAACTTGCAGCACCTGTTTGCGTCTGAGCAGAGAGAGGAAATTATCAAAAGTGCAATAGAGCATGCTGGCAACTTCATAGGTATCTCTCTGCGGATAAGGAAAGAATCCCTAGAATTTGAGCAATACTTGAATCTTCGCTTTGGAAAATACAGCAATGATGAATCTGTAACTTCTTTAGCAGAGTTTGTTGTTCAAAAAATAACACCTAGGCACTTGGTAAGGGTATCAAACTGAACTGACTTAGCACTGAAGTGCTAAGAATTCTCTTTCCTAATGTGCTTTCTATTTATTTATTTATTTATTTTAAATTTTAGGAACCTGTTAAAAGAGTACTAGCTCTTACAGAAGCTTGCTTAGTTGAACGGGATCCAGCTACCTATAACATTGCAACTTTGAAACCTTTAGGCGAGGTAAGAGGCAACCTTTCTCAGTACCACTTCTTCAAATAGAAGTTCTAAAAGATGATAATAGTAGGAATTTGACAGCATACATTAAATTGCCTCAATTTGTAAAGTAGATAAATAACACTGCTACATGAATGTGATCCTTATCTCTTCTTTTTAGATATTTGCAATAGTATGTGACTGTGAAAACCCTCAGCTTTTTACCATTGAGTTTATCAAAGGACAAATTCGGAAATACTCTTCAACGGAAAGGTAACTGGGGCTCCCATGGGTTATAAATTCAAATGACAGTTGCTAATGTAGCACTACTAGTTTCTCAGCTTCCATTAACTTTGCCCCTTGGAAATGTTAACTTGAGGCCTTGCTACTCTTAGCCACTTACAAATCAAGATTTGTTATGGAGTCTAAATCTCTCCCCTTTACCTTCATCCCAACTTTAGGCAAATCTATTGAGAAGCTCTAATGAACACATGAAGCTGTTGGACAGTTAGAGCCTGTTTCTCCTATGCAGTGTTACTCTGTGTATTTTGTACTTGGTTAAGCAGTATATGAGACACGGGGAGAGAGAGTATAACTTGAGTGATACAGAAATGAGAAGGCCGTAAGCCCTTTGAGCTGTCTGCTTGACATGTTCTTAATTGTTTCTGTTTAAAAACAATCAACAGAATGGTCCCTGAGTCTACTTGCAGTTATAATGCAGTCTAATCCTTCTAAGTGAGGTTTTGCAGAAAGTACAGGGTTGACGTGGTGTGCAACATGTGTAACTCATTAACAGGTAATTTAGGGTTGATCCCTTTAGTGAAAGGCTGCAGCTGGCTATACTGGGTGTAAGGTAGCTCTGTTCTTACAGTGAATAAAGGAACACATGAAAGAGATTCCAATGACTGCTGCCTCTCATTCTGTGTTTGACTTTTTTTCCCCTATTTTTCTTATAACTTGGTTCTCTGGCATCACTTTTCTGATCTAAATTGTATTCGTATGTCTCTCTCCTAACCCAGAGATTCTCTCCTGGCTAGCTTGTTGGATGGAGTGAGAGCTTCTGGTAATAGAGATGTCTGTGTGAAAATGACCTCCACACACAAAGGCCAGCGTTGGGGATTACTCAGTATGCCTGTAGATGAAGAAGTAGAGAGCCTTCATCTGAGGTTTTTGGCTGCTCCTCCAAGTAAGCTAATGCTTATTAGATGGTTTTATAGTGCTCTTTAAAGCATCCAGATGTTTAGTCAGGTACTATGCACTTAACTTCTGTTATGTCTTCCAGATGGTAACTTTGCAGACGCTGTATTCAGGTTCAATGCTAACATTTCCTACAGTGGGGTACTACATGCGGTTACACAAGATGTAAGAGTAAATCCTCTGCCCATCCTCTTAAGATGTTGTTAATGCATAAAGATATTAATAGTTTTTATTTTTTTTAACCAGGGTCTGTTTTCAGAAAACAAGGAGAAACTCATTAATAATGCCATAACAGCATTGCTCTCGCAAGAGGGAGATATTGCAGCATCTAATGCAGAGCTTGAAAGCCAGTTCCAAGCAGTAAGACGACTAGTGGCTTCAAAAGCAGGCTTCCTTGCCTTTACTCAGCTTCCAAAGTAAGTGAGAAGTCTCTTCAAGCTTGGAAGTAGTAGGTGAAAACAGTTCTTGAGCTTCTGATGATGCCTTATCTTTAAAACTGAGAATTGGAGCTAAGCCTCAATTCTAAAAAAGACTGGAAGACTCTAAATGATTGCTTCAAGTAGTATGAGGCTGTCATCAGGCTTTAATGTAAATTGAGAATACTGAATGATCATTAGTATGTAAAGCTGATTCTTTATTTGCTAAATATGCTGTGCCTTGAGTCAAATATGGTTTAATGTTTTTCCTAGTGGAAAAACTTCTAAAATGCACTTTCATCTGTCCTTGAAGTAGGCAGTTCTTCACTCAAAGTATGTTGATGCAACACAAAAAAGAACTTGATGTTAGGAAGTTGAGTTGTACCCCACAGTAGTTACAGGCTGCTTGGAATTTGTATCTTAATTGCATAACATAAGGAAGCAGAAAAACTGCCTGATTTTCTTCTGAAAATGAAAAACTATTGATTATTTCTGACTGTGGACTATGGGGCAGCTGAATTATGTGAAGAATAACATATGCACTTAGTCTGAGACCTTTATAAAGTTCTATTTCTCTGTGAATAGTGTTCTGTACTATCGCTATCCTGTAACTATGGAAGTACGTCTTTGTTTAGGTGAACGTGCTCTCAGCATGTTGTTAACAGTGAAGTCAATATTAATGTTTTCCTACCAAGGAATCTCAAGTTTATGTAAAAGTCAAGGTACCGGCTTGCCAAATACAATGGGAGCAAGCCAGTTTTGGTCCCTGATTGGACTTTGATCTTAAAACTAAATTTCTGTTTCCTCTCTAACCTTGGTGGTTTGTTTTCCTTTCAAAAGATTTCGAGAACGATTGGGAGTGAAGGTTGTGAAAGCCCTCAAAAGGAACAATGATGGAGTAACCCATGCCTCTATTGACATGCTTTGTGCTCTTATGTGTGTAAGTATTAAATTGCAGATTCTTTCACTTCAGAGTGTGTGAACTTCAATCTGTTGAAAGATGTAGAAACAGACTGCCCTTGCAGTGTGCTCAAACATGAAAACTTGTGTTACAGTGATTTCCTATTGAACTTGAACTAGGATGTGCTTTTTAGTGTGGCTTTTGGAGAAAGAAGAACTGGGGGTTGAAATGTGACTGTATAGTGAATACTTTTTTTTTTTTTACAGCCCATGCATGATGACTACGATTTGAGGCAGGAGCAGTTGAACAAAGCTTCCCTTCTTTCTTCAAAGAAGTTTTTAGAAAATTTACTGGAGAAATTCAATTCCCATGTGGTAAGTCAAATTTTGAAAATGGATAGCTTCTTTATGTGCCTTTCGTAATTGCTAGTGAAAATGCTTCTGTCATACTTGGATATATCTTTGAATGTATTTGTACCTGCAACTGAAGTGCAGAAAATACAGCTATGTCTGACACTGAAGCTTGTTCCAAATAGGCTTGGATCTTGACAAGTTAGAATGTAGCTGTCTATACTGCAGAACTTGCCATACAACAAATGTTTGCATATCTAATATGGAAACTGGGTGTCCTTTTTAACTATAAATGAGTACCAGTGTAAACTGGTACTTACGGGATAAATACTAGGAAAAGTAATTTGCAGCACACCAATATACAAAGTCATGAGTCTCCAATATGTTCTAGGAGCCAATACTTAACCAGAGTATTGCTATACTCAGAGTAATGGCATATTTTAAACTTGAAATTTTTGTTTGCAGACTGTTTCATGGTGTGACAGGGAAGAACACCTTCAGCATCAAGAGTAGTGAATAAAACTTGCATGAATACTGTTGGGCAGAGGAGAAATGCTGTGTCTGTATTAATACCTGTCTTCCTAATTTCAGGATCATGGGACAGGTGCCCTAGTAATTAGTTCGCTTCTGGACTTCCTGACATTTGCCCTATGTGCTCCATATAGTGAGACTACTGAGGGGCAGCAGTTTGACATGTTGTTGGAAATGGTGGCATCTAATGGAAGAACGCTATTTAAGCTCTTTCAGGTAAGATTTCATATTTCTTTTACTATTATCAGAGGCCTTAGGCAGTCAGTGAACATGAACTCTTTCTTGTTTTCCTGAAAGACAAATTTGTCTACTATTCAGCTGGTTAATATGCCTAAACCTTTTCTACCTTGTTGAGTTTTTAGTCACCTATTGCTTTACCTTCAGATATCAGATTGAAGTGGTTATTCTATAGTGAATGATAATGTCAAATCATAGTAGAATAGACTGCCTAAGACCTGTTTCTAGAAACATCTTAAAATAGCAGTCAAATATTGAGCTAGATTCAGCAGATGCACAGATCACAGAATCATTAAGGCTGGAAAAGACCTCTAAGGTCATCAAGTCCAAGTGTTAACCCTATACCACTATGCCCACTAAACCATGTCCTGAAGTGCCATGTTTACATGTTTTTTGAACACTTCCAGGGATGGTGGCTCCACCGCTTCCCTGTGCTTCAATGCTTGGCTACTCTTTCAGTAAAGAAGTTTTTGCTAATATCTAATCTAAACCTCCCCTGGTGCAACTTGAGGCCATTTCTTCTTGTCCTATTACTAGTTACTTGAGAGAAGAGACCAAGACCCACCTTGCTACAACCTCTTTTCAGGTAGTTGTAGAGAGTGGTAAGGTCTCCCCTCAGCCTCCTTTTCTCCTAAACAATCCCTGTTTCCCTCAGCTGCTTCTCAAAAGACTTGTTCTCCATACCCTTCACCAGCTTTGCCCTTCTTTGGACACACTCCAGCAACTCAGTGTCTTTCTTGTCTTGTAGTGAGAGGCCCAAAAGTGAACACAGTACTTGAGGTTCAGCCTCACCAGTGCTGAGTGCAGGTGCACAATCACTTCCCTTCTCCTACTGGTCACACTAATTCTGATACAGGCTGGTAACATCCTCTTCAGTAGTAAACCTGTAAGAATCCTAGGATTTTTAGATACAATGTCAATGTTTTCTTTCTGTAAAAACACTATGCTCTTCTGCTCCTTGGTTAGTGTGAGCTTGCATCAGTTTCCCCAGCTTTGTTCCAGCTTCTCTGGTATATACTGCTGTTCAGTGCCAAAAAGTCCATATGATAGCTGCATGAGAGTTTCTTGTACTAAGGTGTACGATAGGAACTCTACCTGGGGCTAGCTTTCACAAAACTAAAATATTAACTTATGCTCAGAACTGGAGGTAGAACAGCCATGCAGGTGAGTTTAGGAAACTGAATCACAGGTGATCGTATCTTCAAATTTTGCACTTGGATAACTACTTTGTCAACATTCTGTTTTAGCACCCTTCCATGGCAATTGTGAAAGGAGCTGGTTTGGTAATGAAGGCAATAATAGAGGTGAGATTTTTATCAGTGTTACCTGGGATAGCATACTGAATATGTATTGGCTATTTCAGAAGTGCAGTTGCTTACCAATAGTAGAATTTTGTTACATTAGCTTCTCTTGAGGGAGGGTGGAACCAGGGAAGGTGAGGAACAGAACACCTGCTTAATTGTGAGTGCTTTAATATAGCAACTTGCTTTATCTTACAGTTGGGGGTTTGAAAGGCATGTGAGTTGGGACATTAGGTAGTGCCTTGCATGTTTTCGTACTGTGGTCAAGATTTGGCTGTTAATGTTGTATATAGCTCGGTCACGTACTTCAGAGCCACCAGACTTCTGCATGTTTAAAGAGCCTCTCAAGGAGGAGAGGTTGTATTTCCTGGGATGCATTGCCAGATGGAATGGGACTGGGATTATCAGGCAGTAGTGTCACAGAGCAGATTAGTGATGCCAACCTCTCTGTTCTTGCTCTTCATGCTTCAACAAAGGATGATTGCGTTTTGGTAGTTTCCATACCACAGGATGTATGGGTGAAGTCCATACTTCTCAAGGATTGCTCGTGATTGTTGTAGGGTGACCTTGCTAACTGACTGTCGACACTTCCTGTCTTGAAATTCAGGGCTTAAGTTAGTGCCTCGTATCACAATAGCTTATGCATCTGAAATGCATCTAGTACCTTCTTGGAATAGAAGTGAATGAACACTTGAAATAGAGGTATTAAAAGCCTTCAAGTTTCCATTGATATATCTGATAATGTTAACTAAAAGCTGCTATGCTGCTTACTGCAACTCCTGTCATTTGAACTATAGTGGGAAGTGAGTAAGTAGAAATGCAGTGAAAGCTTTTTCATAATTATTCGTTGCAACTAATGTATCTCAACTGAGTGACAGTCTTAGACGTGTGACTATCTAAACCTAACAGCACCAGTTACTCTTAAATGGTTACTGTTGACCAAAGCCAGGCACCAAGCGATTACGTGTGGCTGTCACTCTTTGTTTAACCCTTATTTGCAGTTGCAGGGTGGAAATAGTACTTGCAAATGTACTACCAGCCTCCTGATCTATAATGGGAAACATGCATCTTACCCTATCCAGTTACTGTCCTCACAGATGTAACTAACTACCAATTATCTGGTCCATGGCTTTGCTGCAACTTTAATTAGTTGCTGTTGAGAACTTGCACTTAAAGCCTGTGGTACTATAGCTTCTGGCTTTTGGATATTAGTTGACATAATTGATGGTCAAGAAGGCCTTGGAACTGTAGACTAAGATAAAAGCAGCTTAACTAAGATTCTTTCCGTAATCATCTTGCCCTGTTTCCAAAGGAAGGAGACAAAGAGATTGCTACCAAAATGCAAGATCTTGCCCTCAGTGAAGGTGCCTTACCTCGTCACTTGCACACTGCTATGTTTACAATAAGCACAGATCAAAGGATGCTTACAAATAGGTATGTCAGTCTTACTTGATATACTGTGTTTTAAAAGTCAAATAAGTAATGGCCTAGCTATTAGAAACACTGGGAGGTCAGGAAAGAAAGTTCTTTAGGAGAGTATTTTCTTCAGCAGCTGGTGTGTTTAAGTAGAGCAAACTTTGGCTGAGGCATGTTAATAAACCTTTGATTTTTTTTTTTTTTTTAATGGGTCTTGGATTGGTTACTCATTAAAGGCTCAAGTTATGATTTTTATTTTTTTCTGAAAACATTTAGGAAAAGAAAAAGCAAGTAGAATGTCTGGAACATGTAAAAAGGTTCAACTTTATTATACAACTGTATAAATCCTGGTGTGCACACCTCAGACATCTTGCATGCAATCAGGGTTACCCATCCTATCTGAGAGAGAAGTCTTCTCATGCAGAAATCATTCCATGAATTCAGCAGTCAGTAGAACTTAGGAGCTCTAAGGCTGGACCTGGGGGCATGCTGAGGATGAGTGATAATTCAATTATTTCCACCCAAATACAAAGTTATACAAGTTTTAACTGCATGTTGCTGAAGCACTTAAAGAATTGCTAAGCAATGCAGTGACAAGTGGATCTTTTTGCCACTGTATGTCATTCAGGCGAGAGCTAGTATGAAACCTTCTGTCATACTAGATCTGTTTGGAGCTGCTACTTATAACTGGTTTGTAAGCAATGCTTCAGTTCAATGCAGTAGAAGTATAGTGACAAATGTTGGCAGAAAGTGTCAGTTGGCATAGAAGGCAGGTTCCCAAAAAGGTTTTCCTAGTCAATAACTGGTGTTAAGAGCTTCAAGTAGAGCAGTTAACAGTTCTTGATGGCTTCTTGACTCTTAAGTTTAACTGTAACTTAAGAATTACTGGGTAGACTTACACTTGGTCTTCAGATGCTTAGTTTCTGCTCTATTGCTCAAGTGTTCTTTTGAGGTCTAGATCAAAAAGCATGTGCTGCTACTGTTCCACTAACTTCACTGGAACTTCTTAAAGGCAACACTTTAAAGCATGCTAAGCATGTACTTGAACTGGAACAATATAATGCTTTGAGCTCTTACTCACACAAGAGCACAAAGCTCTTGCTCATCTTCATTTTGTCAGCATGGTAAGGGTCTAAATTTAGTGGTTTAAAAATCTATTTAAAATACTAACTTGCAGTTTGTTAATTTCAATGACTTTTTCAGGCAGTTAAGTAGACATCTGGTTGGCCTCTGGACAGCCGAGAACAAAACTGCTATGAACTTGTTGAAACGTATTTTGGTGAGTAAAGTTGAGATACAGAATAGCGAAAGAATAAAATTTAAGAACCTGTAGTATTAGAAAACTTGGGATAGTCTATACAGTAAACACATCCCCTCTTGTCTTGAAAGGGGAAGTCTAGCCTGGGAGATCAGCAGTCTGGCATCTATTTGAAGGATATTCATGACTAGTACAAAACATATCAGATTCTTAAAGTATTCTGTTACTTTCCTGCCACTTTTAAAAATGGCATATGACACATAGCTTAAGAATAAGCTGTCTGACTTTTTTTTAAGCCACTAAAAGTAACTAAGTTGCTAAAGTTTGTTTTATTAAAAGTTACTTTATTAAAAATTACTAAATCTGGAAAAGTACCAACTTATAAATTCAAAATAGCAGTTCCTTAATTTTTGGCAGAGCAAAATCCTGATTTTGGTCACTGTCTTCTGGAAAGCTTAGTTAAATTAGACTATCTCATCTTTAATGTCACATGCACCATTCAATTCATATCGGAGGATATAGATGGGTTCTAGTGTTACAGTATTCATTCCCCCTTCAGTATTGCTATGGGATAAATTCTTTTCTTTCTGCAGTCCTAAGCTTCATTAAGTGCTAATTAAGAAGGTGGTTATGTGCCTCTATTGAATGGTTCTGTTGAGGATGGTGGCATTTCACTAATAAAAGCAAAAAGCTGCTGTAGCTTTACATTCTTGCTTTAGAGTAGAAATTTTGTTTTGAAATATCTAATTCAAAGAAATTATCTCATTACCTAATGTGATGGTTTCTGTTCCATTTGCCAGTTATGTTTACACTGGTTTTTAATGTTTTTAGCCACCAGGTTTGCTGGCGTACCTTGACAGTGCTGATCCTGTTCCTGAAAAAGATGCTGATAGGATGCATGTTCGAGATAACTTAAAAATTGCAACTGTAAGTAAATGTAGCTGTCTTACTTCTTACATTATATAGATGTACAGTCCTAGTGACTTTTCTAATACAGACACTTGACTGTTGCATTGACCTGCATCAAACATGTTGATAGACCTGCACCTGCAAATAACTAATAGGATTCGTTCTGCAGGATCAGTATGGCAAGTATAATAAAGTGCCGGAGTGGCAGAGACTGGCTGGAAAAGCTGCAAAGGAAGTTGAAAAATTTGCCAAAGAGAAGGTGGATCTAGTCTTGATGCATTGGAGAGATAGAATGGGCATAGCTCAAAAAGAGGTAAAAGTATTTCAAACTTTGTTACAGCAACTTGACTAAGTAAAGAGAGGAACACCTACAACTCCATGAAATCAGAGGGAAGTTTGACAGTAACAGAAGTGTAGGAATGTGAGAAATGTCATAGTTCTGTTTCCTTTTAGCAAACTCTCTGCCTCTTCCTACTCTTCATCTTGGGTTAGAAATGGATTCCAGGGAGAGTGTAAACCAGGCAAATGGATTCCTTCAGCATAGGTGCTAAGCTTTAGCTTGTTCTTGCTTTAGCCAACCTTATCAAACTGGACTCCAACTTATGTGCGTTTCCTCCAAGGTAATTTTACAGGAGAATAGGGAATTCCTTTAAATGTGGTAAAACCAGTTTTTTAAACTACAGTTGGAAGAAACTAAGAATAATCTTTACATGAGAAATTATGTACTTTATGCTAGTAGTATTTTAGTTATGAAAACTGCTTGAAGTAGCTTAGCATTCCCTTGAACATAGGTATCTCGGTGCTTAAATTGCAACATATATACATAAAACCACAGTTAAATTGAAGTGATAGGTGACTGTATTGATCTGATATTGTAAGAGGATAGCTCAAGCACTGCTTGAGTTTTTACTGTTGGTCTCTTCTTTCCTTTAATTTTTTTTTCATGTTCCGTATGACAAACTCTTTGAATTATGAGTTGTTTCCCTTAACTTTCCTTAATCTCCCAACTAAGCTTGGTTTTGTGCATTCTGGAAATGAAACAAACTATGTATGCAAGGAAAGATGGAAAGAGCAGTGCAATGCAGAGTATTGAAAACACCTGTATTTGTACTTGATCTGATGTAACAATAAGCTTTAATTCAAGAAAATCTTAACTTGTTAAAATCTAGCTCAAGTTTGGCATAGACTGTGGTGTAGAATTTTAACAAGTAATATTTCTGGAATAATGGTGAAGTAGGTTCAAAACAAAGTATTAATGGAGAAATGTGGAAAATGGTGGTGGAAGGGCAAATGAACTTTAAACATCTTGTCTAGATACTGAGTTTAAACAACAGATTTTCTGTCTGGATTTCCAAGATGTTTAATTTCACAGTATAAGTATGCAAGTGTAGCTTGGCAAAAGTAGTAGCAAGTTTGGTATTACCACTTTGAATTACTTCAGTGGCTGTGGCTTGTTAAATGTACCTTTTCTTTTTCTTCCAACTTCCCATCACAATCAGGACAGAAACAATATGGTGAGTCTGTATATCTCTGCCTCTTGTGTGGATCATGTTGCTCAGACTTGTGCTTGCATGTGGTAGCTCATGTATAGTAGTGATTTCATGCTTGATCAAACTAGGGAACCTTTCAGTGGTCAAGTCAAGGTTTGTGACTTATTTCTCTGACTTGCTCTAATTATTTCCTTTCAAGAGCAAAGCGTTCTTGTGGGTTTTCCCCTCCATCAGCTTTAGAGCTGATGAATGCTTATGGTGATGGGAACTAAGCCTTTCTCAGGGTAACTTGCTTCTAAATGACTGACTTGTTAAACAGCTGAAAGTTTCTCTGGCATGATTTAATTTGGTGTAAATAACACTTGTGGAAGTCTGTTGCTACTACTTGCTAGAAAAGGAGACCTTATTAGTGAAACTAAACTTAATGTGGCTTTAGAAAGAATAAAAAAACCCAGCTTTTTATTTTAAAAAGGGAAAATGGGAGGTATCTCTTTCTACTAACTTCTTAAATGTGACTTTTTTGCAGAATATAATTCAAAAGCCAGTGATATTAAGGAAACGACGCCAAAGAATAAAAATAGAAGCAAACTGGGATCTCTTCTATTACAGGTAAAATACTAAGATTAATGTAGTGGTCTCTGATGCAAGTTGTTACCTGGCTGGATATATTTGTTGATATCTTCTGGGTTGCTGTGGCTTGATTCCAATTTCTGCCTGCCTTGAAACAGTGCAAGTGTTCGTAACAGGAACTTAGGAAAATGAAATCCTAAGGTATACTTAAGGATTTAGCTTGTGTTTAGAAAAGTGGGAAATTTGGACAGCTTCTCACATATCAAACTTTGTCCTTTCTTCCCTTGAATCAAAAGGAAGAGTGAGCAACAAAGTGCAGGTGCAGCTTTGTATGATGTTGAAGTCTAAGCATAGTAGCAATAAAAAGCATTGTAGTGTGTCTGTATTAACCTGTAAGTTATTAAAGATGTTTTAACTTGAATTGGAATAAAAGTGAGCTTTAGGCAAAGATCCAGTATCCATGTTTTCACATATGGATACTGGATTTCAAATAGTGCCACAGGTCCTAAATGCAGCTTGATTATCTGAGTTCTAAAACTGTCCAAGTTTAAACAGGGGAGCTTCCATCTGAAACAAAGATACTCTCATTTTCCTTTGGCTAGGGGTGTTATACTAATAGACTAATAAAGCTTCACTGTTCAACAAACTTTCCGAAAGCAAGCTTGGGGAAATTCTGTAAACTTAACTGTTTGATTCAGTGCTTAATGTTTCTGAAGATCACATATAGTCCATTCTGCACAAGTATTGCATGAAAGATTCGCATGCTCCTAAACTTTGAATATTAAAGTGCTGCTCTCAGCCAGTCTCTGGATCCAAAGACTATTTTGTAACTGTCACTGAAAAATATCCACAGACTGTCTTGTGACACTTGAGACCTCAACTTCTATTTTCATTCATGAACTACTTTTTTTTACTTAAAACATACTCTTGGTATATGCATGTCTGCTGCCCTGGGTTATTGTTGACTTGTGGCCCTTACTGGCAGATATGATGAACAACTTGCATGTGTTCTGGTCATCAACTATATGCAGGTAATAAATTGAGCCAAAGGAGATGACAACAGAGGTGCTTTAGTCTTGGCTGACCTCCATGACTATGAAAACACTATACAAGTGAACAACCATAACTAATCTAACAAACTAGAGACTACTACTCAGTGGCTTCTAATTAAGTTCCACTTACACTGTCTCCTCTGGCATGCCAGCTAAGTCTTGTCTGCCTTTCAGATAGTGTTTTGAGGAGTTTAAACTTTGTAACTTCTTTCTTAGATTTCTTCAAGATCATGCTAGATCAAACTTGATTTGGAACTTCAAAACACGGGAAGAACTGAGGGATACTCTTGAGTCTGAGATGAGAGCGTTTAATATTGACAGAGAACTTGGTAGTGCTAATGTTATCTCATGGAACCATCAGGAGTTTGAGGTAAATGACCCATTGTAGGAGAAACTGCATATGTAAAATACACCTACTTAAATGTCACTTTTCTGTCTCTAACTATGTGTGTGGATCTTGTGTTGACAATCCTTGACTGCAATTCTTTTGGTCATATGGGATAAACTGCTAAGGCTTGAGGCTGTGAACAGGTACTGTTGTCCAGTGTCACTCTGTAAAACTGAAACGTCTTCAGGCTGAGAAATGATGCTGTAGAGAAGGAAGATTGATCAGAACCCTTGATGTATTCTTGCATTAAGAAGAAAAGAGTAGAGTTGGTGTTACATTGTTATCAAGATAAGTTGTACTTTCTCTTGAATGTGCTCAATCAGACTTGTTTTGGGTAGTTTCACAAGTCACTTATTCCTGATAGCAAGTTCCTTGTCTTTATTTCCATCATGTCTCAGTGATCCGAAGGCTATTAAATACTGGGTTGCCAAACCATGAATAGATTATGTGGGTAAAACCATGCTGCTCTGTAAATTATAGATTAAGGATATTGTGTTTACATTCTAGGAACAGCAGTACCTAAAGTCAAAATAGCCTTTCAGGCTTCTGCAAAACAATTGGTATGGTCTTAACTGGCTTTCTCAAAACAACTTGCAAAATCTTTTCAAGTAGTGAGCTAATAAACACTTCCAGTACTCTTTTCTTATCTCTGGTATTTCTATGGTTTCACACAGTTTTAATTAATGTGTAATGCTAAAGCAAAGCAAGGCCACACTTGAATTCAACTGTAAGATATTCTTAGATATTCCCAATGCCATCCTTGTCACAGTACAGCTTTCTACAGCTTTCTAGTTGAAATTTGAGCAGAGGACTGCTAGTGAAACAAGAGTAAACTGCTGCTTTTGAGGAATTCTCAGTTGATTACTATTGCAAATCAGAATTGCAAGACATTAGGCTAATGCTTTATGAGAGAGAACTATTTTAGGTATGCAACTTACCCCTATCACACAGCTACAGATTACTTCTTACCTTGATGCATTAAGTAGCTAAGTATGGGTTTGGATTGGTATTTTTTGCACTGGAATTTAGCTTTCGAAGTTTCCTTCAGGTATGGGTCTTCTTGATAGAACAAAGGGGAGTGGTTATAAACTGGATGAGAGTAGATTTATATTAGGTATTAGGAAGAAGTTCTTCACTGTGAGGGTGGTCAGACACTGGAACAGGTTGCCCAGAGAAGCTGTGGATGCCCCCTCCCTGGAAGTGTTCAAAGTTGGTTGAGGCCAGGTTGGGTGAGGCTTTGAGCAACCTGGTCTAGTGGAAGGTGTCCCTGCTGATGGCAGGGGGGTTGGAACTAGATGATCTTTAGGTCCCTTCCAACATATATCATTCTATGATTCTGGGTACCACAGTGTCTGCTGTCCCAACTCCCTAGGGCTAACTAGAGCAGAATCAAAAGTACAGATCAGAAATTTAGTAACACAGGCTCCCTCCCTGCACTTAAGCTCCCTATGTGGCTTATGCTACTGCAGTGTATCAGTAGCATTCTTGCAGTTACAGCCCAAGATACTTTGGGACTGGCTTGAGGGGACTTCTGTAACATCATCTTTGAACAGCTGCTGTATCAGAGATTTGCTTTTAAATATTTTAAATGAATACTTTATCAGATTATGCTATAAGTATTTGAACTATGTATTGGTGACAAAGGCTTCTGTGTCAGCTGTGGAACCTGACACTTTGCAAAGGGGGATGGTGACTTGAGATTCCTCTGGAAGTGTACTAGTTAGTGGGATGTCTTTGTATCGTGTGCTGTGATCAAATCCGGAAATAACTTTGTGGCTTCATGACAGTGGCTTGCAAACTATAGGTAAGAAAAACTGCTGTAGAGAGCAGCTTTTATGGTATGTTAGAGGTACCTCTGAGCGAGGTGCTTGCCAAATGTTTAAAACCACTGAGCGTTGAGGCATGTGGTTAAATTTAATGTAGTTGTTCTGAAGTTAATGATGGCTTTCATTGTGCAATTTCACTTCAGCTTCTTAGTGTGTATACTGATGCCTTTAGGCTTTTATTACCCAGCAACTATAACTAGTGATTAAGTCATGCTTGTGTTTCATACTTGTAGTAACACTGAGTGAAATACCTTGAAATGGAATAACTACTTATTAAAGCTTAAGTCACTGAATATATCATGTACTATCAAAGTTTAGTTAATAAAGCTGGGTGATATTAGAAACAAGTTACTTAAAAGGCTGGAAGCTGGGATTTCAGTAAGGTGAGAAACTTCATTTGTTCTGGGGAGCAACAATAGTTTATGGCATATATTTTGTAGATGTGTGGGTTTTCAACAGCAAACTTGCAGATTTTGGTATTCCTCAGACTGTAGGAAGAGTTGCTAACCTTGTTGAGTTCATGGATGCAAGAACAGTATTATGCAAGCAAAAACTCAGTGAAGGAGAAACAATATTTACTGTTAAGTAACTTGTTCTGTCTTGCAGGTAAAATATGAGTGCCTTTCTGAAGAAATAAAAATAGGGGATTACTATCTACGATTGCTGCTGGAAGAAGATGAAACCGAAGAGAGTGGAGCAATCAAAAAATCGTGAGACATTATTAAAATCCTGTTTCATTCCCAAGGTCTCTGTTTTCTTCACTAAGATCTCATCTCTTTCTTAGATATGAATTCTTCAATGAACTCTACCATCGCTTCTTGCTTACCCCAAAAGTGAACATGAAATGCTTATGTCTGCAAGCATTGGCCATTGTTTATGGAAGATGTCATGAAGAAATAGGACCATTTTCTGATACTAAGTACATTGTTGGGATGTTAGAAAGGGTAAGAATTATTTAAAGCTACTTGATGTAGTAGTTAATATACAGCTAGTCCAACATACGTTCAGATCCTTCAATTTGCTGTGAAACCTGAGTTTTGGTTTTGCAGAACACAAAGCTGCAGCATGAATACTTTTTTCCATGCTATCACCAAGTCTCTAGTATCTTCACTTGATTCAGTAGAAATTTCACTATAAAACCTGCTCATCATAAAGATATTTCAAACTAGTCTCTTTATATGTGCATTTTGTTGGCCTTAACAGGTTTTCAGGCTGTACAGAAACAGCGTGAAGGAACTTTGTGTGATACTAATCCTGTGCTTGCTTTTGAAAAAATGCAAAATCGTAAAGCTTTTTAAGAGGAGAACCTTGTTTTACATCACACTATTGCAAAATACTGACTTCAGGAGTAATGGCAACAGGCCCCGACCTAATGAAATGGTAGCCTTAGATGGGCACATGTGATGAATTAATTTTTTAGTGGTAACTACTTTGCCTATTAAGTGTCTGTTAAGTTATGGCTGACAACGGATACAGCTTGTGAAAATACATTTCTGTGCAGTCTGAAGAAGGGGCTCTTTGCTAACATCAGTATGGGTTTTGGGTATGGCTGTTGTAAGTGAAAGTGAACCAATGCAGTCTCTTGTTATTTTGCCTTGAGTCTTGATAGTATCAACAGAGATATAACATCAAAGACTCATTCTGTCTGCTGGCTGAAAGTGTTCTTTCCTTTGTATTAGTGTTAACTGACTCACTGGGGAATCTAAAGTGTCCCTTTAGAACAATAGACTTAGCAGAAAAGTGGGTTTGAGTGTCAGACCCAGAGCAATGAAGGGGATGGAGGGTAACAAGACCTTTCTTCCTCAGTGACAGAAAGCTATGTTTATTAACTGTGCATGAAATTGAACACTTAAAAGTTGTCAGTTTTATCCTGGGTATGAAAAAGTAAATGGGTCTTTGCAGGTGCAACCCTACTGACTTTTGAAAGTACCTTCTAATATGTGCTACCAAATACTAATTTGTTCTCTTCTGCTGCAATAGTGCACTGATAGGCTTGAGCGGGACAGATTGATACTGTTTCTCAACAAGCTGATCCTTAATAAGGTAAGGTGAACATGTACACTTAATGGTAGTTTCTTGGTCTCTCACCTGTATAAAATGGTCTGAACTAGTCTTTCAGGATTAACTTGAGCAACAATTCAGGTCTTGAGGAAGTCTTAAAACAATGTTTGATACAGCTTTCTGGGATGTGGTAGTTGTTATTTACTGGTGTGAAAGCTGAGGGAAATGTGTAGATATTGTGATTGTACCGTTCTAGTCACTTTAGAGAATGATTTGACTTCTCTCAGGGTCACTTCTTGAATAACACTGTTCAGTACTTGTAGCAACTCCTAACTAGAAAATGCTCGTGTTAATTCAGTTCATCCATTAACAGAAAAATGTGAAGGACCTTATGGATTCAAATGGCATTAGAATCCTTGTAGATCTGCTTACCCTGGCACATCTTCACACAAGCAGAGCCACAGTCCCTCTGCAGGTATGTGGCCTGTGTTCCTTATTGCTCATATGTTGCTTTGCTAAATGGACAACTCTTAAAAAACAACAACAACAAAAAACCACAAAAAATCAAATCAATGTCCTTTTCACATTTACTGTAGAAATGTGATATTTGCACTGCAGCTAAAGAGCTAAAGCTATTCTTATAAACATCAACTTCTAGAGCAATGTGATTGAAGCGGCACCTGATATGAAGAGGGAGAGCGAGAAAGAATGGTACTTCGGCAATGCAGACAAAGAGAGGAGTGGTCCTTACAGCTTTCAAGAGGTACCTGTCAGCTTCAAACTTGACAAATTATTTCCATTCTGGTGACTGAGTGTGTTTCAAATAGTGAGAGGGAAAACTGTAAACAATGATAAACTGTATTCTCAAAGTAACTCTTTAAAAAAGGACTAAAGCTAGATAAGAGACTTGATATGCCAAGAACCACAGCCTTTTTGGTAAGGCTGCCTCCTCCTCCTGCAGTGCTGCAATTCGTGTTTTGTTGGAATTTCATGCAACTGTAGTAGTCTTAAAAGCTTGTCTTAAATGTAAATGTTTAGGAGCAAAGATAGCTCTGAATGCGGAGTCAACTAAATTAATATCTAATCTTGCAACAGATGCAGGAACTGTGGAACAATGGAAAGCTGACTTCGAAAACACGTTGCTGGGCTCAAGGTATGGATGGCTGGCGACCATTACAAGTCATCCCTCAGCTGAAGTGGTGCTTGCTTGCCAGTGGCCAGCCTGTGTTGAATGAGACTGACCTTGCCACACTTGTACTCAACATGCTTATTACTATGTGTGGATATTTTCCCAGCAGGTAAACACTAATTTTCAGCAGAATTGGTTAACTTTCTCTGTCAGATGTGCAAATTAATAAATTTTATCTTAAAGCTTTTTGTAGAAACAAAGTAGTACAATAAATAACTGTATTTAAGAAGCCCTTTACGTATTAGTAATTCTGCAGGCAAGTAGAGTTTGTAAATGAGACAATACCAATACAGTGAAAGGGACTGCAAGAATGAGTGCACAAGCTATATATGTTCCTAAGGCACAGCACTGTAGTCTTACCATTGCAGGCAAGCCCTTGTTTAACTTAAAAACAAAGCTGCTTTAATGCATGACATTAAGCCATGTTTATCAAGTCTTTCAACAAACTTAGAAGTTGACAAAAAAAAAAAAACCCAATGACACTGAATATGATCTCAATAGACTGATACTTATGGCTTGATAAAATTGTTTGTTCTTGAAAGAGAACAGGCACATGTGTGCTTATTTTTGTACCACTTTATTTTTTTAGGGATCAAGACAATGCTATTATAAGACCTCTTCCTAGAGTGAAAAGGCTGTTGTCGGATAGTACTTGCCTTCCTCATATCACTCAGGTAAGCAGCTCTTCAAAAATGTATCTAAATGAGTAAAAGTGTGACTTGCTCTACCATCTTCCACATGTGAATACTTTAAGTGGGACAAACACATCAAATCACATCTGTAATGTACTGCAGACAAGCAGTTGTTTATTTCACTGGGTGTTGTTACAAATGTAATGTTGTTTCACCAGTATCTCATTTAATAAATATTTCCATCCTTGGAGATACTACTGAAAAGCCATCTGGATGCGGACCTTGGCAACCAGCTCTCGATAACCCTGCTTTTGAGCAGGGGAGTTTGAAGAGAGAACCTCCAGAGGTCCCTTCCAACTTTGAACATTCTGTGATTCGAACTTGTTACTTTTAGGCTGAAGTATTAACTGAAATTCTTGTAACTTTACTGGCTTGTCCCAATACTGAATTAATTAAAGTTTATATTTTGCTAGGTAACTTGCACTACTCAAGCAGTTAATGTAAATACTTGTGTTTGATTTCAGCTCTTACTGACTTTTGATCCTATCCTTGTGGAAAAAGTTGCTATATTGCTGTTTCATGTCATGCAAGATAACCCTCAGTTACCTCGTTTTTATCTGAGTGGAGTATTCTTCTTTATCATGATGTACACGGGTTCCAATGTACTTCCTATTGCAAGGTGAGGAAAAAGAATAGCTAAAAATACACCTTGACCAGTCATGTTCAGAAGTTCTGCTGCTCTAAATGCTTCAGGGAGCGTGGCTTTCTAGAACCGACATGAGACTGCAAGCAAACACCCTCTAGAAGAATTGCCTCCACACAGTCTAGTCAGTCACTAAAAAAAATTAATTGCTTATGACTGTGCCAGGGAGTGAATGAGAGCATGCATGATCATATAATTCTAACAGTATGACTAGACCTGGCTTATTATAGAGGAGCAAAGCATTAGAGGCACTGAAGAGGAGTAATATATGCTACTGATATGCTAATGTAGTTTTTGATAGTAAGCAGCTGTCAAAAGTGGTGGAAAAATCTAATAGCCTGCTTTAATATTGAACCCTAAACCAGTTAAATCTGTCTGTACTGCCTGATACAGATGCACTGCACGTGCAGGTTGCTATTGCAGTTCATTCCTAGTGCTCTTCTAAATCCAATAATTCATAAAAAGCTCTAGTACAATTCCAGTTAAGTCTCTTCTATAGCGAAACGCATTGGGGAATGATTGCATGTTTACATGATGACTAGTGTAACAGGACTGTCATTGGTTCATGTAAGGTCATCTTGTTTCATCCCTGCAATGATGATCTAATGGTGCAGGGAGAGGCTTTTTGGGAAAAGTTGTCTGTGTCTCATCAGCTTCATTTTTTTTGTGTGTGTAGAGAAAACAAGCTTTCAGGAATAACACTTTGAAACTGAAATGATGAACATTAGGCAACATGTATAACATGGGAGTGCTTAACTTTGTGAAGGTCCCAGGATTTGATGGCCTTGCAGAGATTCATTTGATTGTTGCTGTTACTTTTTTATCTCAAAGTAAATGTGTGAGACTTGCCAGCTGGGCTATGTTGGTTTGCTTATCTTTCAAGGGTGCCTCAAGTATCAATTAAACTGAAAATAACTGCTGTTTCCCTTCTAGGTTTTTGAAATACACACACACAAAACAAGCTTTCAAGTCTGAAGAAGTAAGTAGATTGCAAAAGTAACTACCTCTGTTTCCAAATAGCTTTGTAAAACACTTGTAGCTGTTTTAGCAAAACTTGATGCTTGTTCTTTTTTTTAAGTTCTCAAGAGTTGGATTTTAGGAACTATATGGGAAAAGCAGGCTTGTTAAAAGTTGTTTAGCAAGACTGAATTCGGATTATCTTTGAGATGACAATGTGATCTCTTTTGTAGACAAAAGGTCAAGATATAGTTCAAAGAAGTGTACTTGGACATATTCTTCCTGAAGCTATGGTGTGTTATTTAGAAAACTATGAACCAGAAAAATTTTCTGAGATATTCCTTGGAGAATTTGACACTCCAGAAGCAATTTGGAGCAATGAAATGAGGTAACTGTTTTCTGTCAGAGGGACAAATAAATCTGTCTTTGACATTTCTAAAGAATGCTGAAAATACCTGGATTCTATTATTTCATTACTTCCCTCTGTTTGCCTTCTGCAAGGGCAATGCCCTGCATTACCCTCTGTTTCTATCAAAAATAACAGGGGCTGTGGGGGAGCAGGGTTGCCAGTGAGAAGGCAACTTTGCTGAACATCTGATAACATGCTTTACATCTGCCTCCATCATACTCAATTTAAGTTCCTTTCATGAGTGGAGAATTCACTATTTATGTAGACTGCTTTATACTTACTGTACTCATTTATTACCAGCATATATCTAGGCTATATACCTCTAATGTTACAAGACGTTTTTAGGGTCTCCCAAAAAGTAAAAAGGTGTTGAGGGAGGGCAAAATGTCACTTTACGTTGGTTTAAATAAACTAATTTTTATGGCATTGAAATAGCCTTACAACAGAATAGGACTGAATCCTATTCTGAATCTGTTCTGAAATGTGGGAAACTACTAAGGAAAATCTTTTCAGAGAAACCATTGACCACACTTGTACAGTTACTGAGGATTGAAGACTGCTTGGCAAGTGTTAAACCAAACTTTGTAACTCTTAGGCGTCTTATGATAGAGAAGATTGCTGCTCATCTTGCTGACTTCACCCCTCGTCTTCAAAGCAATACAAGAGCACTTTACCAATACTGTCCTATCCCAGTTATCAACTATCCACAACTGGAAAATGAGCTGTTCTGTAATATTTACTACCTCAAGCATCTTTGTGATACACTCAGATTCCCAGACTGGCCAATTAAAGATCCAGTAAGTAAGAAGTATTTTAGGATTCATTTGGTTCTTGGTATTTAAAAGTCCTAAAAGTGGGATTTGTAACAAAATTTAAGGAAATCAGATGCTAGGTTCGTTGCAAGTAACTGACTGATTCTGACTTGCAGTTCATAAGCAAATATGTTGGAACACTTTATCCTGAAGCAGTGTGGTCTTCATGCCATATAGCAACCCCATGTTAAGTATATCCTCCTTGTGGTGACTGCTAAAAAAGCAAAATAAAGTATCCAAGAAACTTCAGATAATGTTTCAATGAACCTCAAGTGATTGGGGGGTGGGGGAAATAATCACTTTTGAGTTCTCATTTTTCCATGCTGCATAAGAAGCTGAGCTAACTTGGTATCAGTGCACTAACTGAATTAGTGAGGTCTTTTTTTTGTACAAGTCTATGGTCTAGATCTGTCTAATCAGCTTTACTTACTCATGCAGCTTTGCAGTTTTTGTAGTATCAAGGTGTGAACTGCAGCGTATCTTCTAAGTGATTGTCCCTCTTGCATAGACATTTTAATCTCTAGGTGTTCTTATCTTGAATAAAATACAGCACTGCAGTGAAGCAAAGTCTTAATCACTTCCTGACTGGAGAGGGAACCATAATTACTAAAGGTAGAAGGATTAGGTCTTTGAATTTAGACTGATGGGTGATAAGGTTTCATTCATAAAACATTAAAAAAGATGACACGTGCTGGTGTCATTATAAATGAAACACTAATAAACTGTAATTATTTAGGTTAGACTGTTGAAAGATACACTAGAAGCTTGGAAGAAAGAGGTAGAAAAGAAGCCACCTACCATGTCAATAGATGATGCTTATGAAGTCCTTAACCTTCCCAGAGGACAAGGCCAGTAAGTTGTTTCCAGTATTTAAAGTTGTATAACTACGTGTACATAAACTCTATACACTAAACAAACTAAAGTTTCTTATCTCTACTTGCAACCAATTAGTGGTACCAGTTCAGTTATCTCTAGCACCTCTTTCTCTCAGTGGAATGCTGCTTTATCTAAAAAGAAACAAAGCTTGAAAATCTAACTCCAGTGTTTGAGAAAATAATTGTAAAGTGCTCAGATAAACTGAAACTGGGGAGGGAAATGCTTTGAGCTCTGCTTCAAAGCATTCACTATGCTGTTTTACAGGACAGGTATTAAACTGAACCATAACAAGCAAAGAATATGGCAGAACTTGAATACATTCAAAGTGGAACTTGGTTTCTCTAGTCATTCTTCTTCCTGCTGCCAAATATTGTCATTTTTCTTGGTGATAATATCCTTAGGATTTTTTTACCTCCTAATTTGCCACTGATTTCTGACTTCAGGCCTCTAAAAGAAAACTGACAGCACTTCATATTTATCCTTCAAGAACAGTGTGCTTACTACAGATCATGAACGACTAACTTTTACCACTTATAACTCATTTAGACTCTTCATTTAGAAGATTGAGGGACTTTGAGCACCTTCTGGTTAAGTATATTCAGCACAAGAGGAACTAAAATACTTTCCATTCTAAAACTTCTATTCTGTAGCCACATAATTACCCTCATTCAGTGACAGCTGATTTTCAAACTGATTTTCAAATTGAAGTATGATCTTTGTAGTTTTCACTTACTTGCAGTTACTATTAGTACTGTTGTCAGAATCCAGGCTTGTTTTTCTGGTTTTTTTTTATGTTACTCAATATAATGGGACTTGTTTTCTTGTAGGCATGATGAAAGCAAGATCAGGAAAGCTTATTTCAGGCTGGCGCAAAAATATCACCCAGACAAGAATCCAGAAGGCAGAGTATGTGCAATGTAGATTTATGGTGTTAATAAAGTGGGGACAAATTCAGCTGTTGTATGTATTAAGAATTCTGAAATGCCCACTTAGATTTTCTTTCTCCTTTTTAAAAGCTACACTCTAGATGAATACTAGAATATAGATGAATACTACAGATGTGTAATTTAACTGTTGTCAATCAAAGAATACTAGTATTTCTACAGTAAACTGATGTAATCAGGTCAGACGCCTGTCTCTGAAAGCATCTGGTTTGAAGAGTTACGCAGCACCTAAATAAGCCAGTTCCTCTGTGAATCAGTGTCCTTAAGGTTATTCAGAGTATTTTTCTGAAGTATAATAAGGCAACAAAACTAGTGTTGTGGCTAGTAACCTGGAAGGCTTTATTTCACCTGCATCTAAGCTAATGCTGCAGACTTGTAATAATTTAGGCAGTTCTTAGCAATTCTTGAGACTATTCCTTTTTATTTGTAGGATATGTTTGAAAAAGTTAATAAAGCATATGAGTTTCTATGCACAAAGTCTGCCAAGGTGATAGATGGGCCAGATCCAGAAAACATAATTTTGATCTTGAAAACTCAAAGCATCCTCTTCAACAGACATAAGGAAGGTAAGCATGCTGTCTCAGAAGGATGTTTTATGTTAGTTTCTTCAGTGACCATTGTGGTCAGTTTTAATCTCCTGCGTTCTTGAGTCTGTGTTCTGTTGATCTCGTTTCTGGCTTTCCACAGCGTTATGTAGCTACAGTAAAGAGCTTCAAAACAGGACTTTTTTTCTTCCATTAAAAAAATTCATTTGCAGTAAAACCTAATTCAAAAAAGCATGAATAGCTCTTTGAAATTCTCTGCACCAATACTAATCAGTTTGAATCTTCCCCTATATATAACTTAGACTTGCAATTCTGTCTGTGCAGAAAAGTCTTCACTAGTACTCAGTCACCCAGATGGCAGATTCTGGGTATAAATGAGATTACACCCATGTGGCTATTAAAAATGAGAGAGTCTTGCAGAAATTGTGACAAGTGTTAGTCCTCTGGTGAGTGTGCTGCAACACTACCTCTTCCTCAGCCCAACTGGGAAAGAGGGATAGCTAAAGGACCCCAACCCTTAGCTCTAGCTACCGTCCTTGGCTGGCAGCAGCTGGCACATCCAAGTCTTACAGAGTCAACAGTGTTTTGCTACTTAGGTGTTAACTTTCTAATGATAGACTAAGAACCTCATGTGCAATGATGACTCTGTCAGTTGTGTGGCAGCAGTGGCAAAATTGTTGTAGGGTTATGTAGGTCGGCTCACAGTCAGCTCT